GTTTTTTTTTCCAGAGTGTGTGTATGTGTGTTTTTGTGTGTGGGTGATTCCATCCCTGTCCCCCCCCCCCTCCCTTTTCTCCTGACTCTCCATCCAGGCAGCAGACTGAGAGTTCAAGTGCTGAGAGCGTGGTCTGTTCACCTCCCGACAGGTGGCGCTGGAGGAGCTCCTCTTATCATGGCTGAGGGACAGACAGGGACAGGGGTTACTTTAGGGTCAGAGAGAAAAAAAAAAAATCTTTTTTTTTTGTTTTGTGCATCTGGAGTTTTCCGCTCCACTGACTGATTAATGCCTCTGTGCCTGCACAAGACATAACAAGGCATAACTCTAACTGCTCACTCTAACAGAATTGTGAGAAAAGTAAAAAAAATAACAGACAGCACTCACAGGATGGAGCTCTGAATGAAGAAGTGTAAATTATTTTGATTACATACAGTAATTAATTATTTATTAATTGCAGGAAGCAGCAGCGAGCTGATGAGTGTGGTATGATGTGCATGTGTGTGTGTGTGCTGCCCCCTACACTTGTTGCTCTGGCTGGGGTAGACTTTGTTGAAATGCCTGTACTCCTCTGGAGGTGGGAGGTCTTCAACCGGGTGGAAGTGGAACTTGGATTCAAAATCATCTGAGGGAGAAACGACAAACGCAAAGTCAACGGAGAAACTGTTGAACTGCTTGTTCTCCGCCTCTTGGTCAGAAGTCTGCGACGCAGAGTTGACTCGTGAGCTCCGAGGACTATCAACATGTGACATTAAACACTCTGATTCCATCTGTGAACTAGGATCACGGCTGTGTCGTCTAGAAACTTCCCACATCCTGATTAGTGGCGGTAGAACGGGAAACAGGCTGCGGTGAGATACTGGACGTTTCTGTCTCTGTCATATGTCACTGATCAGGTGGAAAACAATGTGCAAATGATGGTACTGAGCTGTGACAAAGAAACTAAGATGTTAACGCTTCCATCATTTTAAAACATCTTAAAAATACTGTGTCGTAGTGTTGTACTGCGTTCAACGGTAACGACCAAGTAGGACAGTTCTGGCTTGCTTGCTAACGGCTAACAAAGAACTTTCAGCTGATGGACAAACGGGGTTAAATGGGACATTTAGCAGCATCTGCTGGAATGAACCGGCATTGAAAACTAACTCCATAAACACAGTCATTTACACCTCCTGTGATGGTGTGAATACGGTGAACGCCATCACTTACCCATGATGGGCTTGGAGGAGAAGTTGGAGTGGCCATTCCTGATGGGCGGGGGAGGTGGAGGGGGTCCAGCCGGGGTGCGGGAGGAGGACGAGGAGAGGGAGGAGGAGGATGGAGGAGGAGGTGGTTTTCCCACTCTGTTCTGAGACTCTGAGGGGCCGGAGCTGTTGACACGATACGGCGGGGGCGGCGGAGGGGCATCGCGGCCTCCGTTACGAGACCCCGGAGGAGGCACCTGAGGAGCTGGTGGGCTAACAGACAGCACTCACAGGATGGAGCTCTGAATGAAGAAGTGTAAATTATTTTGATTACATACAGTAATTAATTATTTATTAATTGCAGGAAGCAGCAGCGAGCTGATGAGTGTGGTATGATGTGCATGTGTGTGTGTGTGCTGCCCCCTACACTTGTTGCTCTGGCTGGGGTAGACTTTGTTGAAATGCCTGTACTCCTCTGGAGGTGGGAGGTCTTCAACCGGGTGGAAGTGGAACTTGGATTCAAAATCATCTGAGGGAGAAACGACAAACGCAAAGTCAACGGAGAAACTGTTGAACTGCTTGTTCTCCGCCTCTTGGTCAGAAGTCTGCGACGCAGAGTTGACTCGTGAGCTCCGAGGACTATCAACATGTGACATTAAACACTCTGATTCCATCTGTGAACTAGGATCACGGCTGTGTCGTCTAGAAACTTCCCACATCCTGATTAGTGGCGGTAGAACGGGAAACAGGCTGCGGTGAGATACTGGACGTTTCTGTCTCTGTCATATGTCACTGATCAGGTGGAAAACAATGTGCAAATGATGGTACTGAGCTGTGACAAAGAAACTAAGATGTTAACGCTTCCATCATTTTAAAACATCTTAAAAATACTGTGTCGTAGTGTTGTACTGCGTTCAACGGTAACGACCAAGTAGGACAGTTCTGGCTTGCTTGCTAACGGCTAACAAAGAACTTTCAGCTGATGGACAAACGGGGTTAAATGGGACATTTAGCAGCATCTGCTGGAATGAACCGGCATTGAAAACTAACTCCATAAACACAGTCATTTACACCTCCTGTGATGGTGTGAATACGGTGAACGCCATCAGTCCCACTTACCCATGATGGACTTGGAGGAGAAGTTGGAGTGGCCATTCCTGATGGGCGGGGGAGGTGGAGGGGGTCCAGCCGGGGTGCGGGAGGAGGACGAGGAGATGGAGGAGGAGGATGGAGGAGGAGGTGGTTTTCCCACTCTGTTCTGAGACTCTGAGGGGCCGGAGCTGTTGACACGATGGGCCTGCGCGGCCTCCGTTACGAGACCCCGGAGGAGGCACCTGAGGAGCGGGTGGGCGGGGGGGGCCAACACAAACACATGAAAACATATATATATATATAGTACTTTATACACATGTCAATACTATATAGTGTAGGAGTAAAGGAGTCGTTTGTGGTTCGACGCCTGCTTCGTAGCTCAAGTCTCTTGAGGTTGCGAAAAATAAAATATACAGCAAACGATTTAAAAAAAATATTTCTTCCTGATTGTTGTGCACCTTCACACCAGCAGGGGAAGCACTTTCACCAAAATGTTAGATGTAGGAAGCATCAGAGGAAGAAGTCACGAGGCAAGAAAACAAATGGGTGAGCAGGAAAGATATCAACGACAAGAAAAAAAAAAAAAATTCTATTCTATTTGGCTGAGGTTTTAAGTTCAATCCTGATTCTTTTAATGTTGCAGTTTTTTAGGCCAATTCCAGTTGATTAGATATTTGTAAGGCAGAACTTTAGAAGGAAACCTTTTCTTTCTCTCAACTGAATGTAGAGAAAACACTGCACTACCCCCCCCCCCCAAAACCCCTTGCTGACTACAGACATAACTTAAAGGTTACACCAGAGTAAAAACAGTGACACAGCAACAAACAGTCAGTAACAATGAGATACTGTTGAAATTCTAAATTTGTGCTGGTGAAATTATTTCTGGTTTTTTGGCGGACAGTGAAGCTTGTGTGCTGCACCAATAACACATGTTTTTTTTTCCTTTTCTTTTTTTTCTGTCTGGACAGCAGAAAATGAAACAGCAGGAGAGTGAGCTGCACATTTGGAACATCGGACGCCGAGTTCATGTAAAAGTGAGAGGAAAAGCAGAGATGCTGAAAGTGAACAGGAATGCTGGAATATTCCACAGGGCTTCAGGAATGCAGAGCAACCAGGAGGCCTTGTGGTGAATCGCTCTGTCGTCCAATCACAACACAAGGCTCCGGCTAACAAGTGCCTTCCTGTTGTGTTGTGTTCAGATTATGAATCCCCCCCATTTCTTTCTTTTTCTTCTTTCTTTTCAGTGAGCCATAAATCTGTTACTAACAGGAGACAACGATTGTTTGGTTCATCTGTTCTGTTTTCCACAGAACTGGGCCACTCTGTGGGTGTAGGCCTGCTAAATCATTACCTCCCAGCAGAGGGCTACGTGCTTGAAAGGTACAGAGCGATCACCCACATAGCATCTATTTCGGCAAGCCGACACATGCGTGCGTTCGCACCAACACAAACACAAACACAAACACACAGAGTTTAAGCTCCTGGTATGTTTCAGAATCAAGATCAACAACATCTGCCATCATTCTCTGGACAAACGTGAATCTACAGAAACAACAAAAGTTCAGGACAATTCCTGAATTTTGGTGTGAAACCCTCACAGGCCGTGGACACGCAGAAACACAGTTGACAGCTGAATAACAAGCGACGCTGTGGAAAAATATTCACACCACTGACGGTGTCATGACAGGACCAAGAGGACACTAACACACCCAACAACTCAGAGACTGAAGATGGACATCACGTCGTGTAACCCAGTGTTATCACCCTAACTACAACAGGAAGCTAATGCTAACTGGTTAAACAATCGATGAAAATGGTTCAGATCTCTGTCTCATCACCTGGGACTAATTACTTTACATTTATGTTCATAAACTGTTGTAAAGCTGAAATGTCTGACTTTGTCTTATCTTCATACGGTACATATAACTTCCTACGCAGCACTTGGACATCCTTGGGTGTCATATTGGCCTGTGTGACTCCATAAGAACTACATATTTCCTCTTGTACACACTGAGGTTTTTTTTGAGATGTAGGATGATGATGTTTTCCTAAGACCAGACCCAGTGATTTGGAAAAACATTTGTAGTTGTACTTTGCAAGTTTCAGGTTTGTGTCCTGTACCTGCTCGGCGCCCCGGGGGGTCTCTGGCTGGTGGTGGTGGTCTGGCACTCTGTTGGGAAGATGGAGAGGGAGAGGGAGGAGGTGGAGGAGCGTGGCTGCGTCCTTGGGTGCCACCTCCTGACGTATGCTTTTTGTGCAGGGAGTTGTGCCTCTGTGGCAGCTCTGGAGCGCTGCTGCCGTCTACGTGGGAAGGTCCATTGGAGACACCGGCGGATGTGTGTGGTCTGTAGGGTGGCGGAGGTGGAGCAGAGGAGCCCCCTGTTGGAGGTCTGCTGGAAGAGTTCGGCTTGGCAGAGCTGGTTGGGGTCGGGCCTCTGTTGGGTGTTGGTGGGAGGGGCTTCTCTCTGCTGTGGGAGGAGGACGAAGAGGAGCTTGTTTTCTGGTTAGGCGTGGGCGGAGCGTTGCTTCGTGCACCTCTGTTAAAAGGTGGAGGAGGTGGGGGGGCAGAGGTGCTGTGCTTCATCCCACTGCCTGCAGACGAGCTGCCTGAGTGGGAGATATCAGGGAGAGAGGGCCGCTGGGAGCGCTGGTGCTCTGGTGGAGAGGGCCTGTTGCCTGGTGAGGGGGAGGTAGAGCGGCCTGTTGGGGGGAGAGGGGCCACGGGTCGCGACCCCGGAGGTCTCAGCGCAGATCTGCCCACTGAGCCACCTGATGAACCGTCTGAGTGGAGGACAGAGAGGATTAGGTCAGTACAGGTGCTGACTCAAAGATAGAACCAAATATCTGAACTTGTTTTTTTTACATTTTTATTATTTTTTGTGAAGTGATTATAAACATGTTAGCCACCTTTGTTTGGATTATAAAGTATGTTTATTTATAAAATATATGTTTATGTATTTTTTTTTACCTCCTACTGGGCGTAACTTTGGCACACCGCCCTGAAATAGTCCCCCCATTCCCATTGGTCCTCCGCCTCCAAAACCACCACCACCGCCGCCGCCGCCACCTCCTCCTCCTCCTCCGCTACTTCCACCTGACTCTGAAGAGAGAGAGAAAAAAAAAAGATCAAGCAGGTCAACAGAGACAAACATAAAACGATGATTTTCCTTCTGTTTGATACAGAAATATTAATTTCTGTAACTCTCAAATTGACCCATATCACAGGTGTTGGAAACATACGTCAATAAAAAAATTCAACTTGCAGTGACTCACTCTCTATGACAGGAGCACTTCGGTCATTGACTGCAGTGACCTTCTTCAACCTGGCGCCCTTGCAGATGTCTGACAGCAGTGCTCCTCTGCCTTTGGCCTCGTTTGAGGACAGTTTTGGAGGAGTAGTGTTGGCCTTTTGTAAAAAAAAAAAAAAAATAAAAAAAAATTTGAAGGATTAACAAATTGTTCGTTCAGGTTGAGGAAATCTGCTCCTGCTGCGTTCCAAATAACATCCAACTATAACTCACACATTGGCCCAGCAGGAGATAAGAAACTTTCACGTGTCACGTCTGGTGTGTTCATCAGGTTCCAACCACTCACCTCATTGAACGTGGGTGGGGGCGGGGGTCCAGGGGGAGGTGGTGGAGGGGGAGGAATAGGCATCCTGTCCCACTGTTGGCACCTCTGTGTGTTGAAGGGAAGTTGGTGACGTCACTCACTCACTCACTCACAGGAGCTGGGAAAACTGGAACCTAGAAAAACAACACATTTCACAACAATCTTTTAATAATTGTGAAATTATCACTAATCCTCATCAAACTCCTCTACTGTGCTGTGGTCAGACTCCTCGTGGGCATCAGTCCCAGTTAGTATTCCACTTCCTCTTCTGCTGCTGGATTACCATTTCTGGCTCCATATCATATAATCTGCAATTCAAATGTTGCAGTACGGCCTTTCCTTTGATTGCATTTTCTTTATTGCTTAGTCCTGAAAGTTTCAGTGGTGCAGAATCAGCGTTCAGTAGCTACGAGTGCAGACAGTGACCTCTAGTGGCCAAAGATGATATGTGGTACAATTTTGATACAGAAGTTGCTTCGAAATATAAGACGCAGGAAATGATAAATGACTCAAAAAAAGCTGAAAATGCAGTACTGTTCAACATGGAGGTTGGTATTTTTTTCAGGATGGCTTCAGTTTAAAATTTCAAATTGACATCTTGTTTGACTCCCTTATTGCACCCACATTTAAATCCCCACCAGATTTGCAGAGGAACTACCTCACTAATACACTATAGATGCTCCACCACCACTACCACCTCCATCATCATCATCATCATCATCATCATCATCATCATCATGATTCTCTTCTTCTTCTTCTTATCTTCCAGCAGCTGTATGCTATTAAGTGTAATGCTACCCCTACCTACACTGCAAAGGGAGGGACCATTACTTGGGCAAGTTCCATTAAAGTTCTGTTTCTTGGTAAATGACATAACAGATACAAGGTCAGAGTAGAAGTTCTCAACATTTAACAGATACAAGGTCAGAGTAGAAGTTCACAACATTTGGTAGCAATCTCTGCACAATTTTTTTTAAATTTTCTTTTTCTTTATTTGTCATCAGGAATTTAGCTCTGGACTCGAAGCAGCAAACAAAACAAAGCAACCCACAGACAGCGCATCAATGACACGAAAATATGCCACACTTGTACCACACAGCACGGTGGCGTAAATGTGAAATCACTGCATGATGAGTCAGAGCGGCAACATTTTTTTTTGTTCTGTTTTAATGAACAATGACATGATGAAGGGACCACGAGGGAAGGAAGTGGGATGACGATCAGCCTCATTCTGCTCTCTGGCTCACT